CTTGACCAGCTGTCGATTGGCTTTACTGGAAGATTCATGCTGACGCTGTTTCCGAGTTAATCTCCTTCGAATTCGGTGAAAAGATGCTAAGCTTTCGTCCGTCAAGAGTTTTCTTGACTCATTAGCCCGAATTGTGTTGTGACGATGTTACCTCGCTTTGATGATGTCACGGGATTCGAAGGAGATTGCCTCGGAAACAGCGTCAGCATGAATATTCCAGTAAAGCCATTCGACAACTGGTCAACTCGAATCCGCCGTCGTCTTCTGGTGGATCCGATCTTCGAATCTCTTCACCCAACACTTTCACTCTAAATGGAAGTAAGCTGAACAAAATCTTTACTGACAGTATTAGTGGCAATACTATTGTTTATACCAAATAGTCCAATTTTTTTCAATTTTTAACGTTTTATGGATTCATTTAGCTGCTGTAATTTTTCGTGCCCTATTTTTCTGTACGGACCTCAGTAATAGAGCTTTATTTGTCCTTACTTATTTATTTAATTTATTTATTATTATATCCTTCTCCTACCCATCCGACATGCATAAAGCTTCTGCGGGATTGGGTACGCCGTTTCATTTCCAACCTTGTTGCCAACGCTCCGGGTGGCCTCTCTAATTACCCTCCATTGCAGTCGGAGTCGCGGCCCCGCTTGCCCGTGTCGGTCCAGCCAAGTAGCAATGTCAAGGCAACTAGTCGTCTCCCTTGTAATAGTAGTACTCTTGGGGCTGTCATTGTTTCTTCGGCTATTCCTACTGCACCAATATTTTCCTCATATGCCAGTGCCGGTAGTAGTGCTGGTTGCAATGGTCACCGAGGCAACAGTGGTAAAGTTGGCGCAATAATCCCTCAGGCAATTGTGAGAAAGACACGTCATAATCGTCTGCCTTTCGGTTCCCGAACACCTCCAGCCTTCTGGTTCAATTCAGTATGTCCACTGATGCTTATAACCATAGTCACACCATTTTCCTCCTTCACTCATCTACTAACTAGTGAATAGATTTCCTTCTTTTTTTAATTTCTAGCAGGACCAGGTGAGTAAAGGCTTTTGGCAAAAGTTCAATAAGGAATTTTTATCTTTGAAAAGGGTTTGAGGGTTTAGAAGTACCTCTCGAAATAAGATTGTTGTGAAAATTTTCATTTCTTATGAAAGTACATGATGAAGAGATTCGTGGGTAAATCACACCATAAGACGCTGGCTGATTAGTGTTGTACTGCACTCGTTTGGCTTTAATACGACGTTCAGGTTAAGGCAGTGCACGAGACATCCTCCATCGTTTCGGGCGAAAATGGCTGAGCTTTTGAACATTGTTAGAGCTGGGACTCATTCTTGCAAAAGCCTCAAGTTAACACTAAGTCAAGAAGACTGACCGGTCTTTTCCTATATGATATATCTATCTATCTATCTATCTATCTCTATATATATATCATCGTTTATACCAGCATTACTTACGGACTAACGCAGTCTCGGTCATGCTTTTTCACTGGGTCATTAAACCTTGATTACTCGAGACTGACGCTAACCGTTTTTCTGATTACTCTGAGCTATCGCCGGCTTTGTGTACAGAGATTAACATACAGACTTTTCTATATCCATCTATATGTAGATTTTCTCAAAATGAGTATATATATGATATAGGAAAGAGACGGTTAATCATCTTGACTTAGAGTTAACTTGAGGCTTTTGCAAGATTGGATCCCAGATCTGACGAGGTT